CGTGGGCTGCGCCCGGGGGACCCTTCGCGAGCCCCACGGGGGACGTGGCCCAGGGTCTGGGCCTCAGCGTGGATTCAGGTAAGCGGGAGAGGGAGCTTGGCCTCCCCGGACCCCTCCTGCCCTGTGCCCGACCTTGGGCTGAGTTCCGGAACCCCCTAGTTCTCCTCGGAAACCCCTGTGATCCTGTGGCCCGAAGGTCTGCATCTCGGGGTTGTGTTGCGGCAGACGCGTGACCCTGTGCCATCGGTGTGGGCAGAATGAGAAAGCAGGACCCTGCCCTAACCCGGCTGGTAGATTTTACAGAGGATTTTTTTTTTTTTTAATAACATTTGTTGGAAAGGTTCTAGCTCTGCGCTGTTCAGTTCCGTAGCCACTAGTCACATGTATCGGTTGAGCACTTGAAGTGTGGCTAGGCCAATTGAGATGTGCTGGAAGTGTATAATACACACTGGATTTCGAAACTTTTTACGAAACAAGAATGTAAAATGCATCTCACTAACATTTTTATTTTGATTACATGTTGAAATATTTTCAACACATTGCAAATTGAATATATTGGGTTAAATAAAATATATCATGGACTGAGATTAATTCTCACCTGTTTCTTTGAACTTTTTTTCAATGTGGCTGCTCGGAAATTTAGAATTACTCCTGTGGCTCGCATTGTGTTTTTATTGGACAGCGCTGATCTGGAGGACCTGCGAAGAGTGTAGTTTAAAATCCTCTGCCGCTTGCCGGGTCTTGTCACCTAATGACAGTTATAGGGAAAGAAAAGTAGGACTCTGATATCAACCTAATTGCCAAATTAAATAGGTTTCTTAAAAACGCAAAACTTAACAAGAACATGATTTTAATGATAATATTAAATCTCTGGCTTAACAAGTTTGAATTTGAAAGGTACATTCAAATAAGAGTTTATTCTTTGCTTGCTTTATTTTAGCACAAATAAAAAATAGTTATATTATAAATGCACTCATTGACTTGTAGGCTTGCCCATTCCCCCTTCGCTCACGTGAAAATTTGACATTTCCGTTTGCTTTGTTTTTACTTTCGTTCATGCCCTTTAGATGAATTCTGTGATTTTCACAATAAAACAGTGGTGTTTGTCTTTCTTTTCCCTTAACTATCTTGTGCCTCCCCTCCCCCAACCCCTTCTCTCTCCTTCTCTCTTTCTCTTCTCCCTCTCTCTCTCCCTCTCTCTCTCCCTCTCTCTCTCCCTCTCTCTCTCCCTCTCTCTCTCTCCCTCTCTCTCTCTTCCTCTCTCTCTCTCTCTCTATCTCTCTCTCTCTTTTCTTTTCTCTCTGTTTTCAGGTTTGCAGCCTCAGGACAAAAGCAAGGATCTGTACTGGTTTTAGACAGCCCACCTTCTTCCCTGTAGGTCTCTGCATAGCGCAATTGGTGGCACCCAGAGCTGAAATCGAGTGGGTTTGTAACAGCTTCTGATCTTGGTTTGCAGCTCGTCGGTACTCCCTCTGTGGAGCATCCCTCCTGAGCTGATCTGCTGACCCAGGGTTTCCCCTCCCCTTTCCCTTCTGACCAGCCACGGAGGCTCCGCATCTCTGCCTCTCACTTCATGGATCAGGACATGGGGGAAGGCAGAGACTTCAAACGTCTCCGTGTATTGGGAAAACCAAAACACACATCGACAGAAATTTCATCTCAAAATAATTCCTTCTGCCGAAAGAGCAGATCCAAAGACTCTCAATTATGTTTAACAACTTCTGGGCAAACCACTGGAATTATCTGTGGTGAGATCACTTAGGTGGTATGATATAAGTTTTCTTGGAAAGAGGGAAAGAAAAAGACTTTTTAGTGTGAATATTTTTTATGCTGATGTGAATTATTTCATTAAGTAGTGTGATCATAGCACTACTGTTGTCAATATCCTCAGATTGTATTTGTATTTGTATTTGCATTGAAGACTGTGGTAGAGAAGTAAAAAGAAGCCTATTCCTTCTTCCTCACCTCGTAGCCTCCAGCCCCCTTCCTGCTCACTCCCTCCCTACAACACCCACTGCAGACACAAAGACACACTTTTTCCTTTGGACTGTGAACATGGAAGCCTCAGCATGAATGTGAGTGGCAAGTGGCTTATCAGGAGCCACCTGCCCAAGTCTTACTGAAATGCAGCTGTTGTGGGACAACTGTTTAAAACTCCAGAAATACATCGACCAAGGTGGCACTTCCCAGTGTTTGGCACAACAATTGCAATTGCACTGGATATATTTTATATATATGTGTGTGTGTATATATCATATTTTTCACAAGGAACATTTTATGATGGAAGAAGAAACCCTTCTCTGCCTTCTCTCCCACAAATTCTGTCCATCCTTCTATCCTCCTGTGGATGAAAAAAGCAACAAGAGGCCCCAGCTCTCTCCAGGAAGAAGAGCTAGGAATCAACACAAGGAGAAGAAGTGTCCATGGAGTCTCCAATACCTCAAATATTTTTCTCAGTCTCTGTGGTCACAATTTGGTCATTTCAGTGTTGGGATAGGGGAAGGGGTCTGTGTGTGGGCAAAGCTCAAGGTGATGAGGAAGAAGAAACAAACATTAAAGATGTCTATTTACTACAAGGTCGCTGTGTTATTTCATAAAAAGAAAATATATGTCTTAGTTTTCCTCTAGTAGAATAAAGTAACTTATAGTAGTATGATCTGATGTCAGTAAGTAATATTACTTTATATATATGTTTTTGTTTTTCTAAAGTGTTTGCCATGCTCTGAAACATATCAACCCCTCTCCACCTCACATCAACCCTGGAGATGAGAGGTTAGGTACCCCTCTGTGTTTTACAGGTGAGAAAGTCATGGCCCATGGAAGCTCAGGACTTACCTGCTAGTGTTCCTTGAGTAGAAACAGAGATGGTACAGAAAACACTACCTGCAGGCCGGTCAGTCAGATACACATATATTATTCTCCAGAAAAGAATTATTATTACTTCTTAAATTCTAGACACTTAAGACAGTAGAGTTCTCAGTTAAAAGGTATTTTTGAAATATTGGTTATTTTATATTTTAATAAGCTAGGCTAAGAAACCAAACCTACCACTAGAAAAAAAAAATTAACGATCTTTTTATTTTCTCTTGTCGCCAAAGTTATTTGTGTTCTTTCGCTAAAGTGCCCAAGAGAGATTTTTGTGGTATGCTTAAATTGCCCTTGTAGACTGTTTAAAGCATAAAAATATTAGTTCAAATCTTGACCTTCATTATAACGTGAGAGGCAAATGTAGTTTATCTTGGATAATAGTCTGGAGAGTTGAGGACAGTTAAGGGACCTTTCTCAGAGCATGGCTTAGCAGAGTTCCATCTCCTCACTCTTTCATTTTGGTAGTTGTGAAGTAGATTATGATCATGACAGGAACTTATTACTGTTTTTGCTCAGTTGGAAGGTCCTATATGATTATACTGCACCAGATGTAATACCAGTGATAATAACTGATGTTAATTGCTTATCATGCACCAGACACTGGGCTGAGGGCTTTATATATAGGTTAATTCATTCAAGCCTCACAATAATTGCAGATAGTATTTATTATTGTGATCCTCTTTTTACCTACAAGAAAACTGAGGCTCACAGAGGAGAAATAATTTACCCAGTCACATAGCGAGTAAGTGGCAGAGCCAGAATGCCAGCCCAGGTGCCCGGGTGCAGAGATTGCACTGTTCTCCACTGCTAGTGACTGCTTGTCCCCTTCTGATTTGTCTTTGGCTGCTCAGCTTTGGACTTACTTTCTCCTCCACAACACATGAATACGGAGGGGAGAAGACTGACACCCTGTAGACTTTATAGAATCCCAGGTCTCAAAGGAACTATCATAGGACATTGTCCAGACTCCATCAAATGGCGCTACCTGTAGACCAGCCAGATGCAGATTTCCATTCTTCCCCTGGAGGGAATTGTTACTGCTTCTCTTATTAATTCATTTCAGTATTTAACATACTTCACTGCTCTGAAGATCTTCACACCCAACCTAACCAAGTCGTGTAAGACTTGGCCTGAGCTTTGGGCATTGAAGCAATGACTAAAATTAACTTTGGACTTCTCTGTGGATTTTTTTAATCCATGTTCCATTGGCATGGATCACTTGTATATGCAAGCATAAATAAAATACATTAAGTTGCAGCACGTTTTTTTTAGAATTTGCCAACTGAGTATGCAGTTGAAGAAGAAAGCACAACAGTGCATTCTTTGCTGGACATCATCTCTAACTAGTCTCCTCTGGAAGAGGCTCTCTACCTGTGCTCCACCTGCGGTAGCACTCACAAAATCTCTGATCAGAACCCACAGGGAACAGTTTCCCAGCCACGAGTTTCTGATTACTGAAACCTCTCTCCTGAGCTGCATCTGGCCTGAATATCAGGTTGCCGGTGAGGAGACTCAGTCACTGGAACTGGCCTTTGGGGCAGTCCTGAACAGACGACTCAGACTGCTGAGTAGGGCTGCAGCACCCTGGCACGTAGGACACACGGAGTGGAGCATTGCCCTCCATGTTATACATTCCCAAAGCAGAAATGCAAGATGACCGAGAACTATAGTGATTTGGTTCTGTGTAATAAGAGCACCAAAGAGAACTTTGGTGAATTAAGAGCCCTAACTGACATTCTTTAGGCCCACCAAGTCATGCAAAATATGAATTCTCATGCCTATCTTGCTAATATTCGTGAAACCATGCAGATTAGAGAAGGCCCTAGTAGTTGAAGAAAGGATATTCAAGGAGATGAGGGATGCTGTTTTTATGTATATTATGCCTGGTTGGGGGTCTGAGAGAAAGATTAGATTCTCCTTTAATCATCGCTGTGGGTCCCGGTGTTCTCCTCATCCAGAGTTTTCCCTTTGCGCTTGGCCTGGGCCGAGGGAGAGGTGATGAAAAGAGGAGAGACAGCTCTCAGCCATGAAGTAATCCTTTTGCGGATTGCCCTCTGGCTGAGAACCCAGTCACCCAGCTACAGGGAACTCTATCTATTCTCCTCCTTTAGTTTAAAAGGAGTTGCCATCCTGTCTCATTTCCCCTTTGAAGTTCTATTTCAATGCATGGCAAATTCTAGCAATGGCTTGAGATTGAGTCGGGCCTGGATGGGAGAGAGGGCAGAGGTGGTGGGTGTTGGGACTTAGACTCCCTGACTGGAAGCTTCTCTTGCCACTCTTGCTGGGTAAGTACTGCACTTTCTGTGCCCTTTTGCATCGGGGGAAACAACTCTTAAGGTGAGTTTAACCTCCATTTTGCTGAGAAGCACAAACCCTGTGTTTATGTGCAGGCACCTGTACATCTATCAAAATAACCAAGAAACTCTTTTTTTAAGCACTTAGTAACTGATTACTTTTGAGCTGGAGGAGATACAAAAAATAAAACTTAGACTGCTTTCCATATAAATGTTATTTCCATAAATTACATTTTTAAATGGAATTTATTAGGTGTCAAAGCATGGAAGAAAAATTGAAAGATATTCGGCAAGACTTTAAAGGTAAACGAAACCGAAAAACATAAGGTTCCTTTATAAAATTACTTTGTTGATAATTTGCATGCAAATAATTCACATTTTGTACTTCTCAAAGGCTTTGCTCTATAATTCCATTCTTCCTTGCAAGATTTTTAGGATGTATTATTATTCGTTATTTATTACATATTCCTAAAATCTAGAGTAAAGGAATAAATGTCCTAAAGGTAGTATCGTTATTACAGTTGCAGTTTGTACATAACTGAAGTTTTGACATTTATGCAAGGAACAGGTTAAGCAAACATAAATTTCACGTTTCCTCAACACCAGCTCTCCCTCGTCTCCCGTGAATAACTGAAACTCTAATAATACAAAGATGGTAACTGCACAATAGAATCTATTTATCTACAAATATCTCACACACACACACACTGATGCAGGTCTAAAGAGAAATCAGAGACACCGTGCCCTCAGACAGGCACAGACACAAATGATTATTCTCACTTGACAGACCAACTGTACTGCTCTTTCCTTGTATTTCACTCCAGCCCCTGAGGGCTGGATCAGGAAAGAGACACTTGATAGCTGCTGTTTCCGTGGCTGAAATATTTGTGAAGTTAACGCATAATCTGAAAGCAGAAGCTAATAAATTATAGGGTGCTAATTGGAGCTGGAGTGGGGCTGTCAATCATGTTATCCTAAACACAGAGACCCTCATAACCTAAAAAGGCAAGGCAGCCTTCAGGATCAGCTCCCAGTTGTTTCCAGCCTTGACCTCCACCTCAGCAGAAACATCGCATCCAGGCACGGTGGCCACTGGCAGAGTCGGCAGAGGCAATTCTGCTAATCCAAGCTCACTTTAAGAAAATAGACAAATTCTCTTTTAGGGGGAAAGAGGGAGATATTTTGCTGGAGAATTCATGTTTAACCTTTAGAGAAATATACATTGAATTTCCTGGAATAATTATTAGTTTGGTAAAATGTTACTTTTTCTTTGGAATTTTTCACTTTAAAAAACAGGTTTAACTCAATAAAAGAAAAACCTAAAGTTCTCCACAATATAGTATCGTGTCTACCTCAAATTATGGTGTTTCTATGAGTTTTCCATAGAGGAACTAAGCTCCTCTAGAACAAAAATAAGACATCCAAATTTCCTCTGCCTTACTGTAATTCATTTATTTCACCTAGAAAAGCAGCAGCATACTTCCAATTCCTTTATTTTGTATCTCCTGTATTTTGAATCTCCTAGTAAGCTCTAATTCTACTTACCTCCCAATGTTTCAAAATGACGAAAGTGATTTTTCTCAAACTGTCTTCTGACGTCATTTCCATTTCATATCAAAATTGGATAAATTAACAAATATATAATTATCATTACATATAAGACATTTACGTTAAAGGTAAACTAAACTTTGGAAAACAAAAGAATTAAAATTTTTTGATTCCTGATCAATATTTGCATGACTCTAATGACCTGGTTACCAATTAGACATTTTTATCAACATTTATTTTTGAAGTATATACTTTAGTCTCTATATGTATTTACAACTAGTAAAATGTTCCAATTACCTTATAATTTGGAAGCTTCTTTAGAATATCTCAAATAAAAATAGTTTTCACTCAGCAAAGGCAAATCAAGTATCTTAAAACTCTAAACGCACAATTGCTCAAAACAACAATTATAATTGATGAGATGTCATGAGCTTATTTCTTTTCTTGCTGATTCTCACTACTACAGCCTTGCCCTTATTTTTGGCAACCACATTATTGGCACAGGGCCAATGGTAATACCAATAAATGGGATGGAAAACAAAACAAAATATTTTTTGTTATTGCTGTTTATTTTTACTAGATACAATCCTATTTCCTTTTTCTTCTAGCACAGTTTACCCAATGTGTAATCCACCCCAGAAAACAATTGGACATTTTTTTCCTCTAGTATCATATGACTTTTTTTCATTGTACCTGCTTTTTTATGGAATTTCTGATAGCTCGGGAAGCACTA